GATTTGCTAATTGTCCTGCTAAGCACCTACAGATGTTAGACAGAAATTTATTTTTAGCTGTAATATACTTGAAACATACACACACACACACACACACACACTCAGGGTAATAACCTGTTTTTCTGGTTATCATATTTTAGACAACCCAAACATTCTCAAACACATTTCTGAACTCAAAAATAATTCACAAGAAAGTTTGAAGCCCTTCTGACATTTACTTTTTCCTTTCATGACCTGGCAAACTTCTGTTTGTCCTTTAGATCCTAGCTTAAATGCCACCTCTCCTGAGGGGCATCTCCTAATCCACCCCCAGAGCAAACCCTCTCCTGGCTGAGCTAACCCTCCTGGTCTTGGGGTTGTATAGCACACACACCCTACAATGAAATAATTATCCATTTCCAAGTCCGTATCTTTTCCAAGGCTATGAACTACTTGGGGGCAGGTCAAGGGGGAATCTCCATTTATTCATTGCAATTCCCACACCTCAGTCCACTGATTGCCCCCACCTGCTGCTCCAGCCAGCCTGGGATTTGGCGACTCAGATACCACTGCTCTATTTCCACCCGCCACACCACCAGTGTGGCCAGCCCGTTTTTGTGGGACAAACTGGGAGCCCAAAGGTTGGACAGAGTGTTAGACAGCTACGTAGTCCCTGAGTCCCAACATGTTGTGTTGGCCCAGGATTTGGGAATGTACTTCTTCTGCCTTCCTACTCTGACTCACAGACCCAGTTTGCAGCTGGCCTGGGCACCCTGCCTGATAGTCCAGTTCTCTGAAGGCTTGCAGGCTGTCATCATCATGACCCGGACAGCTTGATCATATAGCGCACGTTTTTGAAAACTATTTGCTAAATGAATGAACAGAAGTCCACTTTAATTTTACTTCATTAAAGAAGGGGTTAAGCACTATCTCTTCTCAGATGAGTGTTTGACCTTACACATACCACTTAAGTATCTGATTTCTTTTTTTAAATTATATTTTATTGATCATGCTATTATAGTTGACCCAACTTCCCTCCCTTTGCCTCCACCCAGCACCCCCCATTCCCGCAGGCAATCCCCCCACCATTGTTCCTATCCATGGGTCATGCATGTAAGTTCTATGGCTACTCCATTTCCTATACTGTACTTTACATCCCCATGGCTATTCTGTAACACCTATTTGTACTTCTTAATCCCCTCACCTCTTCACCCATTCTCCCACAGCCCACTCCCATCTGGCAACCATGAAAAGATAGAAACTATGGACAATGAAATGGCAATAAATACATACATACTATCAACAACTGAAACTAAAAAACAAACTAAGCAAAGAAGAACAGAGAAAGAATCATGGATATGGAGAGTGTTCTGTAGGTATCTGATTTCACTGTCACTTTTATTTTTGCCAAGGTCATTATCAGGAGTGCAAAGACTGAAGACAGGTGATTGGATCACTGGGGCAGTTGGTAGTCACTGATAAGATTGAGGGGTGACCATAGAAAACAGAGGCAATCACAGGAGAGAACAGAGGAAAAACACCATGCAGAGCAGCACAGCCAAGTAGGGCCATTCAGCCTGGGAGCAAATAGCTCTACACACTTCAGGAGGCCCGAGCGCATCACTGAATGCCGAGGCCAAACACACAGGCAAAATGGTTGGTGAAATTCAATGCAAAAATGAGGCAAGCCCCATACAATTCTATAGTTCTAGAGGGCATCAATACATCAAAGTACCATGTTCAAACCATGGACCTGAGTCATCAAGAAAAGGTTAAATGATATTCAGTACACTCTGTCAACAGGCTGCCAAGAGCAAATACATTTTAGAAACATCTCTTTCTAAAAATGCAAATTTTCTCATTGTTGTTAGAGCTTAAAGTAGTAAATTGAAGTTTTCTACAATTAGGGCCACCTTGTTCTCCAAAGACATCAGATGCCTCACAGCACACGCACGCACACATCACTTACAATACATCGAAGTTCTTTATAACAGGTATTCAGGGACTTGGAGAGGCCTGATTAAAACCTGAGGTTTTAAAGTAAGAAGTGGTTTGGGGAGAAGCAACTCTGAGGCACCAGATGGCGTCACATCCTGAGTTAGCTAGCCCCAAACCAGACTAAACCCCACCCACCAAAATTAAACTGGACTGCCCAGATTTCTGATTGGAGCTTGATTCTCCTATTACCTTGGCTACCCTTCTAGTTCCTATTCTGAGGTCCAAGTTTCATGTTCACGATTCTTACTCCTCTGCTGAACTTTTGGTGTTATCTATTTGGACATCTGGTGTCTGACTCTGGCTTTGTCCCACAATTCCATCTCCTGAGTCCCAGAGTGGCTCTGACATTTACTTCTGTCGGCTCCAGGGCTGGCTCCTGCCCACTTGGCCTTGTTTTACTACTTCTTTATGCTTTGCCAGGTCAAGCTGCATTCACATAATAATGAAGTCTATTTACACTGGACTTTCTTTGCCATTTTGTAAATGACTCCAAATACATCCATCTTGTGTGAATTAGGCTCCCTTAAAGGTAGTACTTTTTGATCTGACTTTTCTCTAACAGAAATAGCATCCTTTTCACAATGGAGTGTGTCTCGTGCCCAGGTAGTAAAATGGCTCAAATCCTGGCTGGTTGTATTCACTCGGGAATAAGAGCCCTAAAAGTCAGATGCAAATGAAGATTGTTCACCGCCTTCTGGGATCTAAAAGGACATTCGGTCTCAGCCTAAAAAGCCATTATGGAAGAGGTTCTCACGCTTTAATTGTGCAATGAGTAAGTAACCTGGGAAGCCAGTAAAAATGTGGTTTCATAGGCTGCACACCTGGAAAGTCTAATTCAGCGATCTGGGTGCAAGCATCTACATTTTTAGCAAGAGCCTTAGGTATATCCGAGCAGTTGGGCCTTGGACCACTCTTCCGAAACACCGTGTCACAGCAATGAGAAACCCGGTGAACATGGGACAGGCACTGTAATTAAAGGACCCCACTGGCCCTCTCTTTCTTAGAAACCAGGATGCACCTTGCCTGAAGGTCATCTGGCCACTTATTTCCTAACGCTCTTACACTGAATGTCAGCTCAGTTTCAAGACCAACTTATGTTTGTTTTGGCGAAGATCATGTGAATTTTCCAAGTTTCCATAAATATTTTCATGTTTTTATTTCTATTTTTTAAAATACTTTATTTATTTATTTTCAGAGAGAGGAGAAGGGAGGGAGAAAGAGAGGGAGAGAAACATTGATTAGTTGCCTCTTGCATGTCCCCAACTGGGGACCTGGCCTGCAACCAAGGCCTGTGCTTGACAGGGATGTGCTACAAGTGACAGGAATTGAACCAGCGACCTTTTGGTTTGCAAAGCAGACCTCATCCACTGAGCCACACTAGCCAGGGCAGGTATTTTGATGCTTTTAGAGGAAGTAAGACTAGGTTTCTAAGTTATATTTTTATACAGGAAGAAAGAAACACATATGATTTAAGTTACACACTCTTGTCCCTCATCACATGGACCTTCCCACCTTAGACAGAACTCTCCCTATGATAGTTTCAAGAGTTTCAGGATTTTGCCCAAATTAAAAAAGTAAAATATTTAAAATTTAGTATCAATTACTGCTACTTTAAATAAGAAATGGAAATATCCATTCGATCTAGAAAACCTTCAGATGAGCTCTCCACTAATACACACATCACTGGTGAAGAACATCTGTACCTGACTGGTCTGATGCCCAGGAGCCGGGCAGACCGAGAACGGGAGAGCCCTGGAAGCATGGCAGGCCGTGCACTTGACCACACAGGCCGAGTTTCCCTGGGCACGTTCTTAAGTGATCCTGGAGGGGAACCTCAGGAAAATCAGTTTATTTGGGAGCATTCTAATGGGGATAGGATGCTTTTGGAATCTAAGATGACAGAAGATATTGATGAGCTATTAGATCCAGAAGGCCATCTGATATTTGAGATAATGGGGGCTCCATTTGTTTCAGGACGATGCCTTCATTTTTGTACCAACATGGTTTATGGCTTGCAGGGGATATATGGACTGACGATGCAACCATTAAGGATCTTAGAGCCCCACTCTTACTATTATTGGGATATGTGTTCGCATTTGTTTTTTTCCTAGGAGGATCTTTATTTTTTCCCCCAAATCTCATAACTGGTTATACAGATGTTTAATTGAGAGGAATAATTATGAATTACGATTTGTTTTTTTTCTTTCAAACTTTCCTATCTGACTCATTTATCGCCTTCATTACAAGTGTTTTAAATATTGTAAAATTAAAGTTAAAAAATAAACATTGCTAGTAGGCAAGCCCAAGCCTAGAAAAGCTCAAGCTTTTAAAAAACATTAGTGTTTCTTAATTGACAGCCTTGTGCACTGTAAGACCAATTTACAGGAAAAAAATGAATTTAAAGTCAGAATAAAAAGTAAACAAATTTGATTAGGAAAGAAAGGTAGGCATATCAACTCCATGAAGGCAAAGGGACAGCGAAACTCGGCTAAGGAAGACCAGAGGCACTTTTAAGTAGTATTCTAGTTAGGAGAAGTTAGGAGTATATTCTGGGAAAAATGCTTAATTAGGGAATTAAAGCTGAACTGTTGACCTGGAGCTTTTGAACAATTTTTACCACTCTGATATCCTTTGGGTAAATAAAGCAAGGAAGACAAATTTTATCTGGCTTATAGTTGCTATTCAGCTCTGACCCTTGCCTACTGAGTGACTTTAAATATCTGTTACAGAAAAAAATGGTACCACTTTAATTTCCGGCTCCATACCCATCTGGCCAGGGAGAGGATACATTAATGTCATCACATTTTGTCTGCAGGGCATCTGACAGCCCCGAGGACGAGCCTGTGGAACTCTCGGCCAGAACCAGACTCGGGACAGGGCCTGTCCACGTAACAGCCCAGAGCCGTGCAACACAACTTGCTCCGAGGATGCTGGGCATTGTGCTTCATTAGGAAACAAAATATAAGCTTTCCACACCATTAGGAATGACTTTAGGAGTGAAAGCACATAAGACGATGCCTCACCTCATCAACAATGCACTGCAGAAGCTGGAGAGGCTGTAACGGGAAAGAGGAGAGGAAAAAGTATTAGCCTCTATGCAATATCTTTACAGTGGAGTGGAAAGAAAAATCATTAATGCAATAAAATATAGCAAGATTAATCAACAACAGCAAACTCTTATAAAAACATTGATGCTCAGGATGTTCTATTATTTCTAATGGTACCTAATCTAATACAGGCAGTTAAAGGTTTGCATTTTCTTCAAAATGCAATTTGCTAAGTTTAAAACAAGGCATTCAAGCATGCAAAGGAAGCAGCCATCAGGAAAAAGAAAAGTGAATTTTTTTCTGAACTCATAAAGCTTACCATTAAAGATCCCTGGTTTTTCTGAATCTGAAAAAAGGCAATATGTAATTAGCATGTCATAATCAAAATGACTCACTTGGACACATTATGATCACTGAGAGAAAATTATTGCATTGCTGGTGGCAATTTGTGGGCATGTGTTAACACAATTTACATAATGAAAATACACAAATGTTAATAGCTCGCTTCTCATTTATAGGCGAAAGTCAGCAGAATGTTAATTTCACACAACACTTTTTAGTACCCTCCAGGTTGTATTAGAATAGGGAGAAAAACCATAATCCATTTCAAAAGGCTGTTTACGATTCAGATATAAATAATGTTTTATATTGCTAGATTGTGAACACTGGGTTTAATGTTGCAATCATTGCTAATGTTATGAAGCTCACTCTTTTTAAATTAAAAACCGATTTATTTAAAATTGAAATTAAATCATAGTCAGAAATTAGAATTTTGGATTCCTGCCAATGTTTGCTCACAATCCCCTATTTTGTGAAGAAAACTTTAATTATGTGGTTGAAGTATTTGTCTCTAACTCAGGAGTGGGGTGAAGACTCCACCTTTTCCAAAGTTCCTTCAGCCTGTTCCCAGGGCAGCAAAGCTCTCTGGGAAAATAAAATCCATGCAAGTTTTACACTGTTTTTCAGGGGATCAAGTAGAGTGCAGTAACATACATCTTTTTCTGATCAACATTCTAAAGGCAGGCAACTCACACATCTAATACCAACAAACCATCTCTCTGAGAAAGTTACTAAAACGTGACACCAAATTAATAAAACATTCACTGTAATTAAAGTATGAAACACTTCAATGCACCTCCCCCAAGCCAGCAGTCACTACAAGCTCAATGAAAATGGGAGTCCCAGGTATAAGTTTCCTTAGAAGAAAAATTTCAGAAATGAAATACAACCGATGGTCAGTTGGTTGCTGGGATAACTGAGCTGCAACCAGTGGGTAACACATAGGAAACCCAGTAGTAGTCCCTATGTTTTTAATGGCACCTTTACAGGTTCCTTCACACACACACCCCCATTTGACCTCCACAGCCACCCTGAGGTTGGGGGGATGATCATCCCTATTCTGTGATGGGAAGACTGGACCTCTCAGAGGGCGGGGCCACAGGAACAGGCTGTGGTTGCTCTGGGTCTTCTCCAGTGTTCCTCTCTCTGTGGCATCTCCAGTGTGTCCCCCCACAGTCACAGGGTTCCTCACAGACCACCAGAGCTACATATATACATGGAATGGTGAAGCTGATAAATTCTCAGTTCTGGCATGTGGGTTTTACTCAACTAGACTACAAGTTTCTCAAAGACAGAAGCTATGTTTTTTTCATTTCTTTTGCAAAAGGGGTCGGCTGATGAGCAGACCCCTGCACCCAGGGCTTGAGTGTTTTAGAAAGTGATCTTCATTGTATAACCCTGACTGAACACGGTGTCCACCATCACAGCTCCTGGCTCTTTATCACCTCTTCCCTCCCCAAACACTGTTCCCAAAAACCTCTGTCTCAGGCTAACTGGCTTTCAGTCTACTTAAAAATTAAAAAAAAATTTTTTTAATTACAGTTGACATTCAGTAGTATATTAGCTTCAGATGGAGTCTTAGTGTACTTAATGTTGTCCCAGTTACTGCTGCTTGACCCTCCAGTTCAGAGGTGTCAAACTCATTTTCGCTGGGGGCCACAGCAGCCTCACGGTTACATTCAAAGGGCCAAATGTAATTTCAGCTCCTCAACAGTTAAGGAGAAGTTACATTTATACAGTCCTAAAGTTATTTCGGCCCTTTGAGGGCAACCGCAAGGCTGATGTGGCCCCTGGTGAAAAGAAGTTTGACACCCTGCTCTAGTCAATGAGAACTTCTGGATAAGGCTTTGTGAGTGAAGATTTATATTAAAAAGGAAGACGGAGCTGCTAACTACTACTCTGGAGTGGTTAAGGATTTTAGTAACAAGCTATATCACCTTTAAAAAAATTCTGAAGAGCCCAGGTAACTTTGCTTTTATATATTTTTAAGGGCGGGCACATGGATACTCCATCCTGCTCCCATTCATGGTAAGATATATCTACTTCAACAGGAGAGTTACTTGTAATGAACAAATAATTAAAAATCCATTTGACCTCAAAGAAAATGTTTTCAACAAATTTCCAACAGTCATGGGGAATACAACCTTCTCTGAGGAAAACCTGCAGCAAACAATCTGAGAGATGTTTCCAAAGGAATTCAGGAAGGGATTATGAGTCATTGCTCCCAGTAACATGAGTGACAGGAACAAAACGAGTAAAAGGAGGACATTTCCTTATGAACCTTGGAGAAGTCCTCCACCTTTCCTGATTTTGTGGGTTTAATGCATGGTTTAAGACAACTTAAAACTGTACTATTTTAATGCTGGCTCTTTACTATAAGAAAGGGAGAAACAGAAATATCAAAGTCTTTTTTTATGATCTTATAACTATACTGTTTGCTCCGATTTTTAAAGAGAGACATTGTTACCAGGTTTTATTACACAGTTTTGATAGTAACATATTATAAGAAATCATCTTCATAAATTTTGTAGTAAGGTAGCCGTGCCAGTACCTAAAATTGATTCAAAATGCTTAAGATACTCAATTACTTTTTACCACTGTTTACACAATGTGGTGACTTACATCTTCTATTTCACAAGAATCTGATGATGCAACATCATTGTAATTGATTCATTCTCTCAATTAAATAAAGCTACTGTGCTTTTCTTTATATGACTGCCACACAGACCATAGAGTTAGATGTATTATCTCCTTTCTCTCTCTCAGATATATTGCCTTAAAGGCTATATTCTGTTCCTCTGTTAATTCCACCAGAAAATTTAATGCCAGAGTCCTATTTTTCACATTCTGATCTGCCATATACTCGGCTGTATTTATATTAGGCATATTTTTCACTGCTAAACTCTTTGTTGTTTACCTTTTGCAAGATCACATTACAGTACAGGCGCAGCAACCATAAAACAGATCCAAACAAAGTCAACCTCCAGTCACTGCCTCTGCTTTGGCACACAGTTCAAGAAACAGTGAAGCTCCTAGTTTTATAGCATATTAAAAGTGGTGCTAAGGGTACTCAATATAAAATGTGAGTTTCGTGAATGCCTTTTTATTCCAGGTCTGCCTTCCAAATACTCATCTGTGGGAGCAGAGTTCAGAGGAATACAATAACATCATTAGGGCTGACGTATTGCCTGCACCTCACAACATATGAAATGCTATTTATAACTAACTTGTCCAAGTCCACGTTCTTGCTTGTACATTTTGCTTGTGGTGAGTTTCCTATGTCTAACTGGTACTTTGGGACAATGAATAGTAATTGCTCCAGTCAAACTTTGCTAATTAGTCTCTAGAACCAGTAGCATTTTGACACACTATTTAGATGAACCTCTTCCCTCTTCTGGACATAGCTTTTTTCTTTTTGCCAGCCCTTAAATCCAAGATTTTAAGCTATACTCAGAAGGGTTAGTTGTGCCTTATTCTAAGGTAAGGCAGACCCTTCTGTGTTTAAAAGGGGAAGAATGACTTCCTACCAGTCAGGCAAGTTATTGGTTAGGCATTAGGATGTTACTGCAGTAACGTTTATCACGTATTACTTGTAAGCACTACATAATTGGTGATTATAAAAGCTCCTGTAACATGACTTAAGAGTTTGGAAAATGATCCTGGAAAGGAAACTGCCAATGCCAAAGTTTTCTCCTGGGGCTTTGACTCTGGTGATAAAAAGCAACTTTGGAAATCTCACATTATGCTTCTCTATCTGTAGAGGTCCTTTGGTCAGACGGTGGTCAAACCGACTTGACTACCAGCCCTTTCACATTATATTCAGAAGCACAATCAGGAAGCTAAAATGAATCCACCTATGCACCTTAGCGAAAACACCAGCAGCGGCTTTCATTTTCTCTTTTACTCCCTGAAATTACGGCTTGCCCTGCAGCTCTTGTCTGAGAGATTTATGTGTGGCCTAGGTCAGATCTTCCAATATCAGTTGACAAATTTTCTCTTTACATATTTACTGCTTTTCAAGCTTGTGTTATTTTTCTCTTAAATAGAGCAAAAGAAATAAAAAATTAAATTCTATGGTTGGAATTTTAAAAAAATAATCATTTTTATTCATTATGCTACTGACACTGCATTCTAGCTTTCAGGGTTGACCTCTTCTGTATTCTTTTTTAAACTTCAAGTTTCAGGAATTGTAGCTATTTTGCAAAGGCTCTCAAGTCAGATGCATGAAGCTAAAAACGTAAACAGGAATTAAGGTGAACGGAGACTTTCATATTCTAAGTGAGAATGACCTAAAGCATTTTGGAAATGGAAAGGACCTCCGAGATGACCTAGTTCAACCTACTCATTTTGCTGTTGGGGAAACTGAGGCTCAGAGGGGAGCACCCAGGGCCAAAGACAAGACCTGGCCTGTGACGGATGGCTGACCCAGCAGGCTGCCCAGTGTGGGGAAAAGGCATGAACTCTGGAGTCGGAAAGAGCCCTGGAATTTCGGCCCGTGGACCTTCTGAGGTCCTGCGGCCTCAGAAGCGCCCTCCTGTCACGGGGCTCGGTCAGGGTTCACGTCTACCAGGTGGAGAGTGAGTGAGAGGAGCCCAAGGGTCCTCAAAGGCAGAGCTGCCCGTTCAGGTGCCTCGCCTCTTCTCCTGCTTGAGGGAGAGCTGGTGCTGGTATTCAGTCTTGTTTTATCTGGCACTGCACTGGGTGCTGAAACTTAGGGACATACCACCTCCAATCCATCATCAGTTGCCAAAAACATTAAAAAAAAAAAAAAAGTGCCCAAATCTCAAAAAGTCTTCAATAAGAGAAAAAAAAAATCACTCCCACATGACCACACACTGCTTCATACCGCTAATTTAAAGTAAGTTCCAAAACAGAAGACTGTCTTGAAAAAAAAGAATAGAACAAAATTTATTCTGATTAACTACAAATGGGAATTTTGGCAAACTGACATTTTTAGATATGTATTATGAGACAAAATAAGTGAATACTAGATACTATTTGTCATGA